ATCTAATAATGAAGACTAAATTATTAAATACAATAATATTAAATTATTGTGAAAATTTTGATATAATAATAATACAAACCATTTAGTTTTGAATGAAAGTATGCACCTATTTATAGGTTAACCTTCCTTTTAAGAACTTGATTTTTTTTTGTTATGAATTACTGTTACCTTGGCTTAAGAGCAATAATGACACATCACACTAAACCGCAAATCACATTTAATTGGAACTTGTTCTCGTGGTACACAAAATTATTTTTTAATTTGATAGTAGGTAATTACCGACTGGGTGCCCTTTAGCGGGCAGCCTTCCATTCTTGTTTGATCTCTATGGTAACGTAAATAGTTCAATGTTTTAATCGTAAAGACTATATTACATACTATATCTATGTGTATATAATCTCAAAGAATTTTTCAGAATTGACTACACTTTTTTCGAGAATGAATTAACAATTAAATGGTCTATATATGTGTATTTACGCATCATATGTACTATACATAAAAATTATAGATAGGTTGGTAGGACACCTTAGGCATGAAGGGCAAGTTAGAGATATATTAAGAGGCAGAAACAGTTACTTTAGAAATTTGAAAAGGTGCATGACTGAAGCACGACTCCGTACGGGTGCGAAATGTGAACGGTGATGGCGACAGAAAAAGATGTGCCAAAATTGTAGGCGAATGATGGGGGCACAGTGGATAGAGAAAACTAGAAATGAGAAAATTTTAGAAGGAGTAGGAGAACCAAGGGCGCTGTGGAAATCAATAAGTTATAGGCGAGATAAGTTGATGGCACACCTTCTCAGGTATGAAGGGCTAGTTAGAGGCATCTTAGAAGCAGAAACAGCAATCAAGAGAAGCAGAGGTAGATCTAGATTAAATCTAATCTACTGTTCACAAGTAGTGAAGGATGTGGGATGTTCTAATTTTAGGGAAATGCGAAGATTAACTGAAGACAGGAAAGAGTGAAAGTGTCTAACCAGTGTGAAGAACCAGACTAAAGACCTGATGATGATAATAAGCTTCTGTTTTCACGATGAGAAAAAAAAATACGAAAATCTATCAAGAGCAGGGTCTCCATTATGTTAAACTAGCGAAAAAATAAGTATGATTTCGGAGGTAGGCAGGTCTAGGTCGTAGTCAGCCCTGCGAATTCTACAGCAACTGCTACCCTAGACAAAAGTTTTCAGTCTCTCAGTCTTTCAGCGTGTCTGAGAGCGTCTCTCACAGTCTTTCAGTTATTGCCTAGGTGTTTTTATGGATCTCTAACAGTCTCTGCATCTCTCGAACGATAAAATTGTTAATTCAGAGATTCGAGTCTCTCGTTCAGAGACTCTAAACAGTTTTTTTGACAGTCTCTCGACAGTCTCTCTCAGCGACACCAGAGAGACTCGATGAGAGACGGAGACTCGAGTCTCAATTTCAAAGACTCTGAGAGACTGAACATTTTTATCTCGGGTAGGTATTTGGACTCAGTAGCTTTATCAGAGCGTATAATTGCAAAATATGTTTGTAACGTGATTTTGCGAAGACATTCTGTACAATATTATCATTACACTATGACATAAAAATAATAGAGGAATGCGGGTTTTAAAGCAAGGCCACTGCGGGATTTCAAGTGCCATTACAGGACTGTCTTGCAGAATGCGGGACGATTAATTTCCTTAGCGTTGACACAGGAGTAGTTGAACAATGGATAGTTTTGTAAAGATGCGTTTTTTACCACATTTAAAATTAATTTTGAGACTCGGCGAGTCTCTTGAAACAAGTATCGGATTCGGGAATCAATGTCATGGTCTATGGAATTTTGAAGTTCCAAATTGCTATCAGCACCTGCCAAATCACCACTTATGGTACCTTATGGTAGCAAGGAACTACGAAATTCTATGAATTACGACAAAACAGCCCGCAAAATAATATCGCATTGATATACGCCAGCTGTGTAAAACTGAAAACTATCAGATTACAATGTGTAAAAAATAGGGTTGTAAATATTTTGAAATAAAACGATTGATGTTGATTTTAAATCAGTAAAATTATTTGCAACTCTATTTTGACTCTGATATTTCACGGTAAACATACTATTTTGGCATCAGTGTCTTTTTTTCAATTAAAACGGGTGACAAAGACAAATAAGGACGCATACAGAAGAATTAATTAACTCAATCAATCTTAATCTAAGAATCAAAAAGAAAAATATGAATCATACTTAATCTTTGCAGCTGGTGATATAGTGCAAACGCCACTATTAGTCTCTGCCTCCAAGATTTTCTTAAAAAATATTTTATAGTTAAGTAAATGTAGAAAATTAAATAGGTACTAGAAAAATGTATTTTGAAAATACGTATTTTGCATTTAGCATTTAAAATACAAAAGGGAAATCTACTTTGTATTTTACATTTGAAATAACAAATCAAAAAGGTATTTGTATTTTATATTTAAATACTTTTAAAAAGCATTTTGCACATCTCTACCTATAATGCGCCGGTGTTAAGAGATAAGATTATTAAGTAGGAGTAGTTGAACAATAGATAATTTTGTAAAGATATGTTTTTTACTACTTTTAAAATTGAGATTGAAACTCGCTGAGTTTTGAACCGGGTATCCAGAATCGAATCCAGGATCCTACCTGGACCGAGTATTCAGAAACGAAAAACCCTAGCGGCTATTGTATACGTAAAACACCTTCGATTAAAAGTAAAGCTTGTATTAGTTCATGTTTAGATTTATCTCTTTTAAACCAACTGACAAGCACCAAGACTGTCAAAAATTTTTACGGATTATAGGAAGCGGCCGTATAATTTCCGAACATTTGACAATATTAACAACAACACAAAAACTACAACCGCAGAATACTAAATACAAATAACCTATTTACTGCCAGACATGTCATACACGGTACAAACACGCCAGTTTGTGGGAAAACAAATAAAAATTAGTCATTGTTTGCAGCTGGTCATAAAATTAACGTTGGAAATTGGCAAGCACAATAATAAACGAAATTAGTGTTATAAGGGAAATACTTGCACAAAAATGCATTATACGCAAAATTACATATGCATATACATATATGTATACACGTTTTTTAATGAACGTAACAATAAAAAACCGTTTTCAATAAAAACATGCTCGTAAAAAAGGTAACAGGTAACGGAAAACGATAATAAAAAAACAGAGACAGCCAGCTTCCTTTTACATGGGCCGAGGGTGAACTACATTGTTGCAAATTTTAAATTTCATGTAATCCAAGACGTGGTAAAGGTCTAGATGATGGCCCCCACCCCCGAAGGGGATGGGGAGGATCGAAGGAGGAGGTTTCCCCCACCACTGTACCATAAAAAGTTTGTGGCGGTCTCATNTAGGTTAAGTTAGGTTATCGGTTTTGTTCAAGTGACCACCCTCTTTCGATCCCCCACCTCCACCTGGTTGAAAATATTTTTTTATTGAATTTTAATTGAATTATAGTGTATGAAAATTGTCATAATAGTCAACTTTCAACCCTCATAACTTTTTATAGGGGTGAGAACGCCGCAAATTTTTTATGGGGTTTTACTCAGGTGATCACCCTCTTTCGATCCCCCTACCCTTTTTCCATCCCCCCTACCCCCACCCCCGTCTAACCCCCATAAAATTTTTGGGTGAGACCGCCACGAACATTTTATGGTACAGTGGTGAGGGAGACCTCCTCTTTCGATCGCACCCACCCCATCATCTAGACATTTACCCAAGACGTCTTTAGTAACGTAAAAATGACAATTTAGTGGATTTCGGGTATAACGACAACGAAGGGACCACTGTAATTTCGTCGTTATATCCAGAAGTCGTCACAGGCAAAGTTAAAGAAGATACAGACACACACTGTTTTTCAATTTTGAAACAATTTTCGCCTTTTTTTAACAGTAAATGTACATCTGGAAGTCACATTTATTCAAAAGTTTACTAAACACACTTCCTACTCAGAAACAACGGTAAATGTCACCACACTTGTTGACTATTTGTGTAAATGTAAACAAAAGATAAGAAAGCTCTTTGTGTCTTTAGCGACTCCGGTCGCTATATCTGCATGGGATTGCTAGGGATTTGTTACAAATGATTCATTAAAAACAGTCGCTACACCCGAACTCGGCGTTACATCCGAAGTCGCTATAGCCACATGAATTTTATACCAAAGTATGCTTTAAATCCAAGGGACTTACATATGACGTCGCTGTAGCACAATGGTCGCTATAACCGAGATCGTAATAAACGAAATCCACTGTAATTATCATTCTTCTATATTAATAAAATCTGTAATTTTAGTCAGTTTGGATCACTTTGTANGTTTTTTTCATTAGTTTTACCTTTGAATATTGTTTAAGAATGACTATATAAATATTTACATGCCTAGAAATGTATAAAAATTGGCATATTTATTAACTTTGAACCCCTACAACTTTTTATGAGGGTGAGACCGCCACGAACTGTTTATGGAGGAGACCTCCTCTTTCGATCCCCCCCATCATCTAGATCTTTACCATAGATAGAATATCATTGACTGAATCGTTACGTTAAATTGGATTAATATTATGTACGAAGCGCTTTGCCCTATAGGCTAGGCTAGACCAGGTTAGGTTAGAGTAAGTATGGGTATGGGGTTTCGCTTTGATTAAAACGCACGTGCTCTGCATCATAGACAAAGGTGCAAATCCGTCCAAATTTGGGCGGGTTCAACTAGTAAATTAGTCAAGTATAATTTGGTAAATGTTTCTTCAGCTGATGGTTTGACATGTAATCCTTAAGATAAGTTTTTAAATGATAACTTTAACGTCAGAGCAATCAAACATACATATACAAACATACAAGACGTACATAAATGTACCTATACATATTTGTGTTTTTATATCTTTCGTATTGTCAGTAAAAGAACAGGAGACATATGACGATCAAAATTGTCACAATAAATTAAATCTTCTTTTTATGTATCATATAAGCATTTCCTTTCTTTCTGTATATGTAAAACTTACGTTGGCTACATGTACGATCCTCTTATAGTTTATCATATGATGTGATAGTCAGCGGTGGAACAGCAGCTGGTTCTCGCCAACACCAGAGTCACTGCACTCGGTATGCGGTTTTAGTCATTATCAACATTATGGCTTTTGTTCATTCGCGAAACAACATTTTGCGCCTGTTTTACTGCTATAGTGCAAGGCAAGCGTCTTTATGCGTTAAGCGCCGATAAAAAAAAAGAACAACAATAGTGCACTGAAGAAACGGGACGCGGAACGTGGATCTCCTGGTTTCTCACGCGGTTAAATGCGGTTTTTACTTGCAATCGCGATTATGAATCGAGAATGTTGTCGATTATTGTAAAATATACGGCCAAATGGAATAGCGGGCGGCCGAGCGAGACAGCTCGCGACGTCCCCGTGCCGGTAATAAACAATCGAATTTTTACGAAATAATTCGTACGTGTACGGACGGTCCATGGGCGAAAATGACTGGACTGACTTACTGAATTACTTCACCTGTTGATAAGCAATTTCGTCGCGAATTTACAATTAACTTTGTATGCACTCTCCCGCCGACTTCTTACTTATACTAGAGAAGAACAATGCTGCCCCATCCACATCAATGTAATATACAACGTACACGTACTCTCTCCTTTATGAATAGTTTTAGGAATTTAAGATTAGAATAATCTTTTAGCAGTTGCCTAAAATATTATTAATTGAGCACAGCTCAACCGATTTGACTGATTTATTTTTTGTTGGATTTGTACCTAACTGACAGGACAAGGTTTGCGTGTAAGAAAATTTTTAGAAAAAACGGGAAAATTCGGAAATTTGGATAGTATTTTTATATGGAAAACCTTCAAGTTATAAATTTTGACATTTTTGTTTGTGGTCAGATTTACATGAAACTTGATATTTATGCTCATTGACATAAAATCAAACACCTATTTCAGCATTTTTAAAAATTTATATGCTAGATATTTTATTTGTAGTTAGATTTACTTGAAACTTGGCTTTAATACTCTTTCATATATGAATAGTTTTAGGAATTTAAGAATGGAATAATCTTTTGGCAGTTGCCTAAATTATTATTAATTGAACACAGCTCAACCGATTTGACTGATTTATTTTTTGTTGTATTTGTACCTAATTGACAGGACAAGGAATGCGTGAAAGAAAATTTTTGGAAAATACACGGGAAAATTCGGAAATTTGGACAGTATTTTTATATGGAAAACCTTCATGTTATAAATTTTGACATTTTTGTTTGTGGTCAGATTTACATGAAACTTGATATTTATGCTCATTGATATAAAATCAAACACCTATTTTAGCATTTTAAAAAATTCGACCCCCGAAAGGGGGTGAAAAGGAGTTGTAACGTTTATATGCTAGATATTTTATTTATAGTCAAATTTACTTGAAACTTGGCTTTAATACTCTTTCATATAAAATTAATAATATACACACCTATTGCAGTATTTTAATAAATTCAACCTCTGAGGGAAGCTAAAAGGGGTTTGCAAAGATCGCATGGAACATTTTCTCAACAAATTCAACCTCCAAAGGAGGAGGGGGGGGGTAAAAAGGGGTTGCAATTTTTGTTTGGGACATATTTTATTTGTGGTTGAATTTACTTGAAACTTGGTGTATATACTGTTTGATATTATTAATCAAATGAAAAGAGGTTGCATCGTTTGCATGGGGTATATTTTATTTGTACTCCGATTTACTCGAAGGTAGCTCATTGTTGAAATTAAGCAGATACGTGTTTTGACAAATTTTTAAAAATCAACTCATAAGGATGAAATGTTGTTTCTACGTTTGTATTTGAAATCTAAGATGGCGACATTACATAAAATTAAAACGTTGTAAAAGGTTTTATGGAGAAACAATATTAATTTCTACGACCGAAGCCGCGGGGAAGAGCTAGTAAATAATATAATTAGTATGTCCTGCCGGAACTGTCCACGACGTGCTGACGAGACTCAAGAGGGTCGAAATCGCGACCCACATTTAAAAATTTATTTTCGACAGAATGCTGATCACTAAATGAAGTCAACTTTTTGTTCTGTTTGGTTACTTGCTCAGCACAAAGGGTTAGNAATAAAATAATTCGAAGTGGTCTGTATTCTGTCGAAACTGCCAGACGCGGATCGCGATTTCGATCTTTTTGGATCTCATCAGCGCGTCGCAGACAGCTCTGACAGAACACAGACCAACTTTAGGCACGTGCCTATCACGTTGAGGTTAGCTACGCCGGGATTCAGTTCAGCAACTAGATATCCATATATTTCAGTGGACCTTGTTGGAGCATACGTAATCCTAAAATATAGCATCGTACTACAGATGGTGTTTACCGCGCCATTTGTAGTATTTTCTAAAACGCGCTGTTAAGACAGCAGGTAATAATCCAAAAAGATCGAAATCGCGATCCGAGTCTGGCAGTTTCGACAAAATACAGACCACTTCGAATTATTTTATTCAACATGTATATGCACTCCCCTTTTTTCCATTTGGGCATACATTAAACCAGAGAAGTTATTTTTCAACAACAGAGAACTTTCGGTATTTTTCCTTATTAATAGAAGTGAGCGAAATGCTTATTAAAGTAAAACAGTAAAAAAAAAAATATGGGTTCCAATTTACCTACATACATATGTCTGAGATAAAACTACAGGCGTCGGCGTAGTAGTAAAAAATTCTAATTTTAGTTACAGCATTCTAAAATAAAATCGCCAGCAGGAGAAATAAAAGAGCGAAAATAACTTGACATTAAGTGTTTTAAATTGAACTGCCAACAACTGATCGTTTCAGTTAGGATATATAAAATACGACCGGTTCTTTTCATTTAATTACTTCTGTCCACTTTTACGAGCACATCATTAGATGTATACTTTGGTATACGAAGTTCGATCAACAAAACATATTATACAGAATGTTACAGTTATAATTAAGGGCACATATTTTTATTTTTCAAAAAGGTCACTAATGCAAAGTGTACATGAACATAATACCTTTTCAAACATACATACAATTTAGACATCTTTTTAGAAGTGAGTTAGTTTAATATGAAATATTGTACTGAAAATTCAATTTCTGAATTTTTTATCCACTACACGCTATAGCGTGTAGGTTGGTTGGTCGTGGTTGCTATTGTCGCCTCTCGTAGTTTAGTGGTCAGAACATTGGTGCGTAAAGCCAAAGGTCCCGCGTTCGATTCTCGAAGGGGGTGTGACAACAGCAACAATTTTTCCCTCATTAATTTGAGGTAGCGTGTAGTGGGTAAAAAATTCAGAAATTGAATTTTCAGTACAATATTTCATAATAAACTAACTCACTTCTAAAAAGATGTCTAAATTGCATGTATGTTTAATCATAGTATAGGGTTGTTCGGAAAGTCATTTCGTTTTTTTGTGGAAATGAAAGACAGTTTTCGTATAATAAACAAATACTTTATTAAATTATATATTGACCGTTCTGGTCAAACACCTTTTGCCATCTTTCTGGTAGTAGCATAATTCCACGCTCATAAAATTTTTGGTCTTTGCTGACAAAAAACTGATCGAGGTTTTTGACCTCCTCATTTGAGGTGAAGATTTTACCGTCTAAAAAATTTTGGAGTGACCGGAACAAATAATAATCCGATGGTGCCAGGTCTGGAGAATATGGTGGGTGTAGCATTGTATCCCATTCAAGCTGTAAAAGCTTTTGGCGAGTGACCAAACTTGTGTGAGGTCTCGCGTTGTCTTGGTGAAACACTACACCTTTCCTGTTGATTAGTTCTGACCTTTTCTGTTGAAGTGCATCATTCAGTTTGTCCAGCTGATGACAGTAGACTTCCGAATTAATCGTTGTGTTATCCGGTAAAAGCTCAAAAAAAACGATTCCTTTAAAATCCCACCAAACAGACAGCATCACCTTTTTTTGGTGAATATCGGCTTTGGAAATGGTTTGAGCCGGTTCATCTTTTTTGCTCCATGACCTCTTGCGTTTGACGTTGTTGTATACAACCCATTTTTCGTCCCCAGTGATGATGCGCTTCAAAAACGGATCATTTTCGTGACGTTTGAGAAGCGAATCGCAGACGTCAATGCGGCGACACAGATTTCTCTCTGTGAGAACATGGGGAACCCATACATCGAGCTTCGAGGATAATCCCAGGCCTTTCAAGTGGTCATAAACTGTTGAATTTGATAAATTTAACCTCAATCCGATCTCACGTGTTGTTATTCGCCGGTTCACATCAACTAATGCCTTTATCGCGTCTTTATCAGCTTCAACCGGCCTTCCCGAACGTGGTGCATCTTCGACATCAAAATTGCCGGATCGAAATTTAGCGAACCAGTTCTGGCACTGGCGTACTGTCAACACACCTTCTCCATACACATCAGTCAATTTCTTTCTGGCTTGAACAGCATTTTTACCCTTTCTGTAGTAAAACAGTAAGATATGTCGAAAATGCTGCTTATCGCTCTCCATATTTAAAAGGGCACCAACCAAAAACTACTGCGTAGAATTAATTGGAATTTTTCACACACAAGCCTTGCTATATGAGCTCTCAAAGCATATAAAGTTATACGGCTTAAATGTGAAGTTGGGTGCAAAAGAATATAATTAAATCCTCTGTCGGGAAAAAACGAAATGACTTTCCGAACAACCCTATAGAATAATCAATTTAAAATGAGGATTCGAGACCATTTGCCTCAATTAAATGTGAATTAAATCGCAGATGTGTTATGATTTTTTAAATGGCCATTAACATTGAGGTTCGATTGCCTAATACCTAATATTGCAGTTTTATTGTTAGATAGTAGCAGAATCGGTCAAGGGTGTTTATAAAGTTTCCGAAAAGCGGCCAGCCTCTCGTTAATTTGTTTATAAATTACTGATCAGTTGTACCTTTTCATAATTAATAATATAGCATCAAATAGGTTAAGGAAAAAGATCAAACATTATTTTTTAATTCTCTAAATTCAGATTGTTATATCATATTATAATCATCAAGAAGCAAGAAAGATATTCAAGAGATTAATAAATATTTGGTCATTTTTATGTACGTGCTCGTCCGCAAGTTCAGCTCATATTACCTACGTCGAGTTATTAATTAGAATTGAAATAATGAGATTACTTAGACGTTTAACGCTTTTAATTTATTACAACTAAATTTTTTATTGTCATGTTAATTTTAATGGTAAGATAATGTACTGAATTCATTACATTTAGTCAGATTAAGACTTAAAAAAATGATTGATGTGACCATCTGTTATTTATCAGATGATAAGGCTGTCATGTGACAAAAAATTACCAACATAAAATTGGATCTCTATTTAATGATCTTCATACATACTACT